AAACCGTGCGTTTTTCGCTTATAAACAATTTGAATAACATTGTTGCTATTTATGCTATCTCACCGAAAATAGATGCAATGGATAGCTGGCAAAAAAATACAGTTTTAAAATAAAAAAAGTACCCTCTACGACCAACAGGAGCCAAGATAAGAATTTTTTTTAATCGTAGCGCAATTGTTTATAAATATTAAGACTTGAATTTTTCGCAAAATACAGTTTACGACGTAAACTACGATTTCCCGTGAATTGCATTGAAAAATGTGGAAAATTAACGACTCATGAGCCCTTTAAAGAGAAGGTACTCGCTAACACGCCGTCCTTGGTAAGCGGCGACAAACGGCCGGTGCGACCAGCAGTGATTTTCAAAATTAGAGCAACATAGGTTCTGTCCTACGTACGAGGTACCGCCCGGCACAAGCGGCTCGTGCGGTTTTCATGCGGACGACGCGATCAAATTATTTGATAATTCCGCCTCTGCCGCTTCAGTTTACATTTTTTAATCTTAAAAATTATATGAGTTTTTCGTCATGTCTGACACTTTTATTGAACTTTTAATTAGCAGTATGAAAAATTCCATTACACTGTGGGATATGAAGCACAAAGATTATCATAATAGAGATATAGGTACTCCACAGAGAATGGACCTGCACTGTTAACAGAAATAGGCGTTGAAAAGTAGTCTCTGAATATTTCATTTCTAGGTTGATTACGTTCTGTTTTCAGGAAGTAAAACTCGCACCTTACTAACAATACTAAATATATGTATTTATTGGTAAAGCCGCAAACATACTATATGGTTTCAGAGATAAACGGTGGTTCTTATGCTATCTGAGAATCATAAAAACTACTTTAAAAACTTCGTGGTATTCGCAAAGAATAACGGCGTGTTTTCATCATACATAACATACAATGTAGTCGAATGTTCGGGAAACATTCTGGCATATCCTGAAAATAGTTCTGGTTCTTTAGGACAATTTCGTAATTTTTCATATAAATGATTAAATTTTTCTAAAAATGCCTACTGTGCTTGTCATGCGTTTTTTATTATTTGTTTTTTACAAATTATTATACTGTTTAAGTGGATGTCCTCAGTTAACAGAACGATGAGTTTCCTCGTCCACGACAACTTGACAATTGCAACACTATTATGATTACCACGCTACCGCGCGTTGAAAGTGCACGTAGGACAGGCTGATCGCATTTACCGTTAGCACCGCGTCGGCCACTTCAACCGCGTCGAACGCGTCGGCCGCACCGGCCGTTTGTCGCCGCTCACCCAGGACGTCGTGTAAGTAAACTGTCCGACGGGCGGCCGGCGGCGTGGTGGTGGGGGAAGCTCGTCCAAAAGGTCGCGCGCGCGAGAAAAGTTAATTCCATATTCAAATTCCAAAGTTCAAATTGATGCGCGCTGTAAATTTTGCAATATCTCGGCTTCTATTCATCGTAGAAACTTATTTTTTTTTAAAACTGGAGTAGCTCGACGAAAAAATAACAATGGGCATATTTACGAATTCGTAGAATAGCCCTGAACCCCAGAAAAAATCTTTTATACTTAGATTTTTTTAATTTACAAAAATGTCACAAAAATTATTGTGAAACGAAATATTAATTAAAATTTCAATTTCGGAATTATTTTACTATTATTAAATAAATAAATGAAGCTATCGTTCATTTAAAGAGTTATTTTTTTTGCATATTAAGGCAAAGTAAACTTGTTTTTTCAATATTTTGTTAGCTATTTAATTACGATTTAAATGTAAAATTAAAGTGAAAATTCATAAATTTGCTGATTCGTCAGAACAAGTAATTTCACTGCACTGTATATCTGTATTAAATGTTTTATTACAAAACCAGTTGCCTCTACCCATACCTACTTCTGATTCCATACTAGTTTTGTACTAAAAGATTGTAATATTAAATAAATACATCTATCAAACACTTTTATGTTATTAATACAGTAGAATCTCTATAATCCGGCACGTCACTATACCGGCACGTCCAGTAATCCGGCGTTATTTTTTCCGCATTTATTTACTATTCTTGAAGAATACAGTTTATACAGTTATAGTTTAGCTGAAAGATTATTTTACAAAAACATAAAAACATTACAATATACATATATGCATACACAACTGTAATATGTATGTATCTATGTACCAATCTCTTTGTTAATAAACAATTAAAAGTAACGTTTTTTTAATTTAATACTGTTTACATATACATTTTCCATTAATCCGAACTTTCCAGTACTCCGGCACTCTTAGGTTTTTAATGGTGCCGGATTAGTGAGATTGTACTGTACTTACAAAATCGTTTGCAAAATAAAACTTTTTTAGTGCGGACATTTCTGGCAAACATCAAAGCAATACATTGTACCCATCAGTACACTTGCTACTCTAAACTCAGAATGCCATAAATGAAATATAAATAGAAGGTTATCCAATGTTGCAAGATTTACGGAAGCCGTATATACGGTGAAATGGAAGCAAATATATACGTGCATACAAGCGATCGCGGCAGCGCTCTGCGAATGGTGGTGGTAATGGTGAACTAAAGTATTCAATAGCATCGAAAATACCAATATGTGGCTTCCGAAAAATATTTCTTCTATAAAGTTCAAATAATATAAGAAGCCGACTAACATGAGTCTCCGATATGGCGTCCATATATGGACGCCATATGGCACACGGGCGCCATATCAAATGTAAATGGTCAATATAAGGACGCCATAAGTATAGAAAGATATATATATATACATTATTACTGTAAAATATTTTTAGTAATTATTTACTTTATGTGAGTCTCAAGTTTTTATGAAATTTTACCAATTCCCGTCATTTCGAGATAGCTGAAAATTAATAAAATATTTTTTTCAATTGAAAAAATCGCATACAAAACTAATTTCAAATTCATGTTCAATATCCTGGAAACGGAGAGTTGACAAAATGTGATTAGAAAAAATCAGAGAGTTTTGTGACAAAACAAATAATTAGCAAGTACATTATAGTATATATTGGCGGTTTTGTAATAATAACAAGTTCTCTAATAAAGCCAATAAAATGTAAAGACTGTGTAAATAGTTTAATGTCAAATACACAGTATTCGTACAGTCAATTAGTTTTTATTAAAGATAGTGGTTGTTTGAGGTATACATCTCGAGATGTCGTAGTAATATGCCAAGAAACAGAAAAATTAATAATTTTTTATACTAATGGTGAAAGCAGAACACCTATATTACAGAAAAATAAAATTGTTTATCATGTATTAAAAAACTTTCTGAATGCGAACATATTTGAAAATTTGCATTAACATCAATTTTATAATTTGCCTAACAATTGTAATCATTTAATAGAACTTATAAGGGCTGAATGTGAAAAGTATATCGATGTACGAATAAATCATGAAGTCAAATTATTTAATTCGGTAAAATCTACGAAAAGGCAAATATTAAATAAATTAATAAATATTATTTAGAGGACAATAAATATATTTAAATTATTTTGTAGTTTTATTTGATATGACACTAAAAAGTACTATTTTCTGAATTACAAACTTAAAATTGAATATTTGTCATAAAGATGCAATGTAATCTTTAATATGTAATAAAAATATTACTTAATCCGGATCTGCTTAAAGATGCGCGCGATCAGATTCCCTTCCACACTCCACTTCCCCGGATTTTGTATTCACTGGTACCCGCATTGGAATTAGATACGGCCAGTCTAGGTGGTCTGTGCCTCTAACCAATTGCACTCAAGCCTCCTAATCTAATTAGTGTATAAGTGATAATTAATAATAAATAATATTGTCAGAACGTGCTATATAAGCATGCTAGCTAAGGAAAACTTCACAATAAAAATATATTATTTCTACTTAGTTATCAAGATAAGTAGATACGTGGCATTTGCAATCCTCATAGCCAATGTAGTTAGAAGTTAGAGTTAGTTCAGTAAGTGCATTTAATGTTTTGAAAGAATATTTGTGATTCCCCGGTGTTGAAAGTGCAAGTTAAAAGAGTTTGGAATATATTTATTTGAAGCATAAATTTTAGTGAAAACATGTCCAAAACACCTATATCAATTTTGCAAGAACTTATGGTACAAAAGAAAGTAAATTTACCAGATTATTACATTGAAAATTGTGATATACCTGGAGCTACTTTTAAGTGTACTGTAAGAGTTGGTTCTGTTAAAGCTATTGGTTATGCTTCGACAAAAAAAGAAGCTAAACAAAACAGTGCAAAAAAGGCATTAGAAATGTTGGGGTATGGAAGCAGCAGTAGTACTGTTTTACAAAAGGAAATAACACTGCTTGTTAATTATTCCACAAAACAGGCTCCTTTTATTAATTATGTTGGAAAATTAAACGAATTAGCTTCAACACATGGCAAACCTTATCCTGTATACCACGATGAACCTATGCCTAATGCCAATGGAATTTTTGTAACCAAATGCAATTTTTTAGAATTTTCTGCTCTAGGTTGTGGTTCAAAAAGGAAGGATGCAAAACAAGATGCAGCAAGAAATATATTAGATAAGTAAGATTATAATTTTATTATATGGAATTTATTACTACTTTGTGTGCTACTTATTTGGTTTTTGTAGTTTTTAATACTGCAACTTTACCCATGCTTTGTTTAAAAAAAAACAAAAATTTGAATTCATGAAAGCTATTTAAATTGCTAGATTAATAAATATGTTCAACCATGTATTAGACAATGTGTCTTTCACACTTATAAATTTATACAATTTTGACAAGAAAAGGTATAGTAAAATTGTAGACACTTAATATAAAGAATTAGTTTTTTATGTGTCTTAAGCAGTTCTAAGCATAAAAATACCTATTTTTTAATATGGAAAAAAAAATTGTAATTGCAATTTACCAGTTCATGTACCACATTTTATAAAAACGTGCTGAAGTAAAATATGTAAACTCCTCAAAAACCTCAATATTTTTGTTGGCACTTCTGAATTTCCATGAAAAAATTCACGAATTAGAACGTTTTAATTTGTGTATAAGTTATTTGACAGCAGATTTGATGTATTACCTATACTTGTCCAGCTTCTTCAAGAAACGACTTCACAAATTAATTCATAAAGAAATTCACAATGTAAAACAGGTTTAAGAGGCAAACCACACCTATAATTTTGTATGCCAGAATTCCTGCACTCAAGGAAATTCTCCTACATGAATTCATTTGAATTTCTCTGTTCCTTTGACTCAGTTTTAAATTACATAATGTATTATTTTGGCTCTATTTATATTTACAATTTGAAGAGCTTTTTCTACAGACGTGTATAAATATTAGGCATAGGGCTACCAGATCTATTGCATGAATCAAGAAATGTGTAAATTTGAAAACCACGTTACTTAAATTGCATAAATAGTTTCAGTAATATACAGGGCCATTACCAGCAATTGAAAAAAATCAGAGAAATTCATGAAAGATGTTGCAAATTTGCTGAAAGGTGTTGAAATAAAAAAAAATATTATTGGCATTTGGCAATAACCTAGAAATGCATGAACATTTGTCATGTGCGAGCCCTAAGAACCCCGGACAAAATGTAGTTTAAATATAAAACAGCTATACAAACTTTATATAATTGATTCGTTAGTAAGTATATTTAGATAATTAGTAATGTAAGTATTTCCTGCTTAATATTTTCTTTTTGTTTATATGAACATATACAGGGTGTCTGGTAAGTACCTCCTAATCTCTCGGGAGTGTATAGGGGAGGTCAAAATAAAACTAGTCCTTCCTATAATTTTTTTTCCTAATGTGCCCCCTAACGGAGTTATGGGGGGTCAAAGGGGTACCTAGAAATTAACGTTTAGGGTTATAACTTTGAAACCACCCTGTATATTTTAATAAAATTTTCGTACGTTGTATTACACATGGAGCTCTACGATTTGATGCTAAAATCAACTTTTTGCTATTATCAGGTGTCCAGAAACGGACTGGCCCTATCACAATTTTTCTCAAAATTTTGACAGAAGTAATTTTATCAAACTGAAAATATTATTATTAGATACTCTGAAGGTTTTTCTTTAAAAATGGTACTCTTTATTTATTTCGAAAAAATGAACGGTTTGCGAGATAAATCGGTTTTGAAAAAAATTGGTAACAAATACAACAACAATTAAAATTTATTTTTTT